ATGAATGGATTGGATATATTGATTGGATGGATGGATGAATGGATTGGATGGATGGATAGATAGATTCGTGCGTAATTACGCACGAGTCTTTCAAAGCAACGCCATTTAACAAAAATAAAAGAATGACTAAAAACAAAGAAAATACAACACCCTGGAGCCACTTTGCTTAAACACTGACTTTATTTTTTGTTTTTTGATATTTTAGAAATGAGTTTTGAGCTTTTACGCATTATTTTATAACTAAAAACAGCGTCCCTGATCTGTGTGGATGTTAAGAGTCAGAAGTCATAAAACGTTTTTGATGTTGTCCTTTTTGAATTTGTTTAAATACATTTGGCCAATAGACAAAACCACATTGTACTTTTTTTATCCCATCAGCCAGTCTTCTCCTTTTCTAGAAATCAATATGATTCTCAGATTATTTTTTAGCGCATCTGTTCTGCGCCTTCAGGTCTTCATGCCTTCCAGCTCCTAGCAGAAGACCGCTGGGACAATGGCCATCCACGTGGAGGGGCTCGTGGCTATCGCGGTCTTCTACCTGCTCATCCTGTTCGTGGGCATCTGGGCTGCGTGGAAGAACAAGCACTCCGGGGAGGCGGAGGGCACGGACCGCAGCGAGACCATCATGGTGGGGGGCAGAGACATCGGGCTGTTTGTTGGCGGCTTCACCATGACAGGTGAACATGGCTTCAGCCTCAGCAGGACAGTTTGAACTGATTTACTTTAACAGCTTGGTGTTTTTATTTTATTTATTATTATTATTATTATTATTATTAAGGAAACAGTTTATTTAGTTGGGTAAAAAAAAACGATTTTGTTTTAAGACATAGGTTTCTTAAATTTATGGCACCTCTTTTGGAAAACTTTTAGATTATTTTTTGTTATATGAAATACATTTTCTTTAGTCCTTCTGGGTTTTTTCTGTGTAATTCCAGCGACCTGGGTTGGAGGGGGCTACATCAATGGCACAGCTGAGTACGTCTATCTTCCGGATTATGGTTTGGCGTGGGCTCAAGCCCCCTTTGGATATGCTCTCAGCCTGGTTGTTGGTGAGTGAATTCCTTTCATTTCTGATGTTCAACATGCTGCAACACAACTTCACTGCATGGATGTGTTCCGTGCTCCTCACTGATCAGCTGCTTTATTCTCACTGACACAAACCCAGAAATTAAATCTTAAATGTCCTGATGCTGCTCACTAATCCAGGTAGATACATCTAACAAGGTTAAGTCAAGTCCTCTGGAAGGATTATTCACTGTCCAGAGGATCTGACTTAACCTTAGCTGAATTAAATTATTGTTTTTATTTATTATTATTTGAATCTAATCTGGATGGGCACAGATCTAATAATTAACCCATTTGTTTTTAAATGGGTTAATTTTGGAGCCTTGTCTTCACCTGGATCTGTGCCTCAGTTCTTGCTGCTCACTCTGTCCCAGGTGGTCTTTTTTTCGCTAAACCCATGCGCTCCAGGGGTTACGTCACCATGTTGGACCCCTTCCAGCAGCTGTATGGAAAACGTATGGGGGGGCTTCTCTTCATACCTGCACTCATGGGGGAGATTTTCTGGTCTGCTGCCATCTTATCGGCCCTCGGTGAGTTTGTTCCTCTGCAGAAAAGTAAAACTTGCTCTTATGTCATAAAAGTTCAGGGTCAGGAGGTTATGATGTCATGATGTCCTTCATCTGTTCACGACTTCAGGAGCCACTCTGAGCGTCATCGTGGACATCAACATTAAGATGTCGGTGGTTATCTCTGCGCTCATTGCCATCTTCTACACCCTGGTTGGAGGACTGTACTCTGTGGCCTACACTGATGTGGTGCAGCTCTTCTGTATCTTTGTTGGCCTCGTAGGTTCACTTTCACATTTTTCTATTCTTTAATTTTATTTTAGCAGTCACATTTACACACCCCAATTTAAATATGCCAAGTACATCAACGTATTTCTGACTGCATTTTTAAACAAGTGTGAAAAGTAAATGAGCTCGACTGTTCATTTCTAATATTTTGCATCTTCTGGATATCTTTGATTACAATTTTTAGATAACTATGCTTTTCTAAAACTTTCTTTTTGCTTAAAGTTCAGTAATTCTTATTTGTAGTATTCCAAGCCTTATTTTCTGTTAATCCATCAGTTTGTGTGTTTTGGACCTGTCTGGTTTTTCTGTTTGCAGTGGATCAGCGTCCCGTTTGCTCTGACCAACGCTGCGGTGTCCGACATCACCGTTACTGCAGTGAAGCAGGTTTACCAGTCTCCGTGGAGAGGCAGCGTCAGGACGGAGGACACCTGGGTTTGGATAGACAACTTCTGCCTTCTGGTACAGTACCCACCTCAGCTCACACTGATCACAACTCTTTCTACCTCAAGTTTAAAGTCTTAAACAACTCCTGCTGGTGATCTTTACCAACATATTTGAATAAGTCATATTTCGATAAATAATAAATTGCTCAAGATAGTTGTGAAACTTATTGATTTACTTTAACAGATGCAGGTGCTTAGCTAATTGCTTGATTGTCCGCAGAGTTTTCATTTTATTTTTTTTTTGTAATAATTTTTACTGTAAAAATTTTTTATTTTTTTTTTAAATAAGAGTGGCTCCAGTTTGTCTGAAATGGACACGTCTGTCCTGATCGTTATCCTCAAGTTGTTTTACCTTGTTTTGTTTTTTTTGTCATTGTTTTCCTTATCCAGATCATAGGTCTATCATTCACATGTGCATCTAAAAAAAATTAGAATATTGTGCAAAAGTTCAATATTTTTTGTCAGTCATTTCACAAAGTGAAACTCGTGGATTCATTACACAGAGAGCAAAATATTTCAATCTTTATTTCTTGTAATTTTGATGATTATGGCTTTCAAATAATGAAAAAACAAAATTCAGTATCTCAGAAAATTAGAATCTTCCACAGCTTTTGGTACCTTTGTCAACGTGGGCCGGTGTCGAGTTCTGCTGGAGAATGAAACCATCTCCATGAAGCTCGTCAGCAGAAGAAGCACGAAGTCTCTAAAATGTCCTGGTAGATGCTGCGTTGACCGTGGACTTGAGAAAACCCAGTGGACCAGCACCAGCAGAGGACATGGACCAAAACCATCACTGACTGTAGAAACTTCACTCTGAACATCAAACAATATGGATTCTGGACCTCTCCACTCTTCCTCCAGACTCTGGGACCTTGATTTATAAATTACATGAAACATTTACTTTCATCTGAAAAGAGACATTGGACCACTGAGCAACAGTCCAGTTCTTTGTCTCCTCAGCAGGTAAGACGCTTCTGACATCTCTGGTTCAGGAGTGGATTGACTTGAGGAATGAAACATTTGTAGCTCATGTCTAGGAATTAATTAGCTGATCAAGGTGTGACACCAGGAGTTTACAATATTGAACGTTTTCACAATATTCTAGTTTTCTAAGAAGCTGAAATTTGTTTGTTCATTATTTGTAAGTGATAATTATCACAATTAAAAGAAAAAAAACCCTTGAAATATTTCACTCTTTGTGTAATGAAATATATGAATTTCATTTACTAAAATGATTGACCAAAATAATTCTAATTTCTCAAGATGCACCTGTATGTATATGTATATATATACAGGTCCTTCTCAAAAAATTAGCATATTGTGATAAAGGTCATTATTTTCCATAATGTAATGATAAAAATGAAACTTTCATATATTTCAGATTCATTGCACACCAACTGAAATATTTCAGGTCTTTAATTGTTTTAATTCTGATGATTATGGCATACAGCTCATGAAAACCCAAAATGCCTGTCCCAAAAAATTAGCATATTTCATCCCACCAATGAAAGACAAGTGTTTTTAATACAAAAAACGCCAACCTTCAAATAATCATGTTCAGTTATGCACTCAATACTTGGTCGGGAATCCTTTTGCATGAATGACTGCTTCAATGCGGCGTGGCATGGAGGCAATCAGCCTGTGGCACTGCTGAGGTGTTATGGAGGCCCAGGACGCTTCGATAGCGGCCTTAAGCTCATCCAGAGTGTTGGGTCTTGCGTCTCTCAACTTTCTCTTCACAATAACCCACAGGTTCTCTTTGGGGTTCAGGTCAGGAGAGTTGGCAGGCCAATTGAGCACAGTAATACCATGGTCAGTAAACCATTTACCAGTGGTTTTGGCACTGTGAGCAGGTGCCAGGTCGTGCTGAAAAATGAAATCTTCATCTCCATAAAGCTTTTCAGCAGATGGAAGCATGAAGTGCTCCAAAATCTCCTGATAGCTAGCTGCATTGACCCTGCGCTTGATAAAACACAGTGGACCAACACCAGCAGATGACATGGCACCCCAGTGACTGTGGAAACTTGACACTGGACCTCAAGCAATGTGAATTCTGTGTCTCCTCTCTTCCTCCAGACTCTGGGACCTTGATTTTCAAAGAAAATGCAAAATTTACTGTAATCAGAGAACATAACTTTGGACCACTCAGCAGCAGTCCCAGGCGAGATGCTTCTGACGCAGTCTCTTGTTCAAAAGTGGCTTGACCTGGGGAATGCGGCACCTGTAGCCCATTTCCTGCACACGCCTGTGCACGGTGGCTCTGGATGTTTCTACTCCAGACTCAGTCCAGTGCTTCCGCAGGTCCCCCAAGGTCTGGAATCGGCCCTTCTCCACAATCTTCCTCAGGGTCCGGTCACCTCTTCTCGTTGTGCAGCGTTTTCTGCCACACTTTTCCCTTCCCACAGACTTCCCACTGAGGTGCCTTGATACAGCACTCTGGGAACAGCCTATTCGTTCAGCAATTTCTTT